ACGACGAGGGAGAGAGACAGGGCGTAAGGTATCATATTATACTACTATTTAAACTGCCACTGACAACCCTAATATTGATACATTTCGTTTTGATTATTGCACATGACTGAAAAAGATTTGAAACGCTCGCCCCAATTTATGACGTAATAAGAGAAATGGTGCGCTTCTTGCCTTTTTGGATGACTGCAAACATGAGGTGTCGTTTAACTTTGAACCTTTCCTCCTCGTCGTTCATGGAAAAGCGCACGTGCTACGCGGCCAACCGCGAAACTATTTCACGAGACCTTTCTCCGCGTGCAGTCGAGGCGTAACTCTTCAGAGCCTCTTTCTTTTGGCAGGGTTAGTGGGTCTAAAACGAGTTTTAAAAATGTAAAGAAGGGAACGACGGTGAGGGGCGATGTCGCAAAGGTGCTGCCAGAGTGGTTCATATCCGACAGGCTATCCGGCACCTAGAACAACTTCTCCGATGCGTCCTCGACTTCCCCGTCGTGCGCACCCCTCTCAACGTCCTCAGCACAGCAGCCGGGTGCCGCCACGTTGAAGGTATAAAGAAAAAGCTAGGAAACGGTTGATGTTACGTAATTAACACTCCCGGTTTCTGATTTTCAGATTTAGAAGTCAGAACAGTATAGTGCCTTAGCAGGTGTTGTAAAACAAAGGTATTTCATGAATGACAATAATAACCATTACAGACATGAAACTTCCTGCACCTCTTAACGTTTTCAAAAATTCATCCGTCAATTACGTCCACACCCCCACCCCCCCCCTCCCCCCCCCCCCCCCCCAAAAAAAAAGCAAGGATTAGTTTAAATTGAGGGAGGCGGACAGAAACTTAAACAACCTCTTTTGCACGCAAATTTTTTTTTTTTTTTTTTTTTTTTTTTACACGTTTCCGAAGCGTTTGAGACGGCAACAAAATATCTATCTCGGAGTTGTTGGAGCCCTTTAAATGTTTGTGCACCAATTCAAACCATGTCGGATTCCGTCCGTCGGTTTCAGGGGGATACAAACATATTGATTTAATTGATTTAGCTTAAAACAAAGCCATTTTCTTGACTTCCGGAATTATGAAAGACATATTTTGCCAATGTGGCACTTGTCTGCAAATGTTTCACTTCACCGCTTTTCATGACGCGGATATCTTTTGATACTCTATCTTTCATTTCCAGAGAATACGTGATAACTTAATTGTTTCTCTAGTGTAGTTTGTTTTCTGTCGGCATTCACAATTTTGAACTGTGTCAGGTACTACGCTGTTGAAGAATATGAATGAATATATGAAAATTCTGTCTTATGCGGTCAACAACTTTAGGCCTGGAATATTAATACAGCAGAGTCAGATTTAGAAAAAGAAATTGTGATCAGTACTAAATTGATAAATACATTTAAAAGAGTCAAGCTAGAGGTTCTAGCGAGTTAAATCAAAATTTTCCAATGTACTTCTTTGGAGCAGAACACGACCATATGTTGAACGAATGCTGCACAGTATAACTTACAAAACTCGCATTGTGACCGCGAGATGCGAAGATTGATTTCGTCAGGCCAAAAAGGGGTGCGTAGGCCGTCCCCTTAATGCTTTCTAATTGGTTTAAATCTCTCGCAGATTTTTAACTGGATGGCCATGTCGGCGGACGCACTCATGAAAGACCTGAACCCCGGCCGCCACCCGGTAGGATCGGTCGAGGTGTGCAAACACTTCGGAAAATTCGCCGCCCAAGTGAGCAGTGGCTTCGTTCTGGAAAACGCCAGAAATGGAAAGGGACATCCGGCGAAGCCCACCGCGGAGCAACTCTACACGTGCTCCCTCGAAGTCGTAAACACGCTCAGCACCAGGTGGTTCACGGGGCTCACAGGTGCGTACGACAACGCTCTGACTGCGCATGTTTGTGCTCTTGTCACGTCTCTAAATTTAAACTTCCCAAACGGAAGTACTGCCACACATTACAAATGTGGAGGTGGCGGATGGTTGGAGAGACTAAACGTTTAATGGGGGCGAACTTATGCCCAAAACGAAATAAAAAATGGTTTTGCGTTGCAGGCGTTGATGTCGGTAAAGCAGCAGGATCGAGCGCTGGGGCGAGACTGACACTCGGACTTGCCACGCGGAGCGCCTCTTGTAGCCGCGTGGGTTTCTGGAACATTCGGGCTAGAACGTTCGGCGCGTAGAACATTCGTAACTCGATCAGACGACAAGGTTTTCGAATTTGCGAGAACGCAAAGTAGAAAAAATAAATAAATGAACATTCCGCTCCCTGGAATCAAACCCAGATCCTCCACGACAGCCAAGCACGATAACCATACGGCTACGTACGCGCTCGCTCAGCGACGCGCTTGGCATTACTCCCCCCTTTTAAAAGCGCATCGTCTTGATGCGACGTGCCGGCAAACAAAAACAGCAAAACAAACAAAACAAAAATAATGGAAAACTACGGGGACTTGCACTACACAATCCTATCGAGCGCAGTACAAAACGCCATTCATAGTCCTATCAATCGTAGTACGGCTTGAGGCGCACGACGTGGACGACTTCCGGTCGTGGAGGGCGGCGCGATGAGGTCCGTGTTTTGTCGGGCATCACACCGTGGTTCAGATCCCATTGTTCCTTCTCGGATCAAGTAATGAAAAGGGCAATCGATCCTGTACAGCGTACGATAAAACTTTAAGCGCTGTCAGTGAGTACGCGGCCATTGATGCTCGATAAAGCTCGCTTTTCGCAATCAATCAATTGTTTTCTTTTCTTCTTTTTTTCGAGAGAAGAAACACATTTTTTTTTTTTTTTTTACTTTAAGATCCAAAGCTGCAAAAGGCACAGCAAAGTCGTCTGACAGGGTAAAAACGGTCTGCGTCCTGTGCAAGTTCCAGCAGCTAGCGCGCCATGCAACACAATACAAACAAATGTAAAAAAAAAAGAAAGAGAGAGAGAAGAAAAAAAAAGCCTACGCATACAGTAACGTGAACAGCAATACAGCACTAGCACAACAGAAATAACAACAACAAAACATTGACCCCCCTCCAAAAAATGCGAAAGAAATACCGTCCGCCTAAATATTCGGCAGTGTATTTGTAAAAAACACAAAAAAAAAACAAAAAAACGACCAATTTCAATTAAAAATAGCAAAAAGGATGCATAAAACATTAAGAGTTTCACCACAAAAAATAATTATTAAATAAACATGTCTATAAAAATTTCGTTAAAATAGTATAATCTTAGATGCATGTTCGTGTCTTCTATTGCGATTATAGAATCAGGAGACGTTTGAAAAATCGCCTTTTATCTAAACACGCATCTCATATAATTAGACTGAATCGACTGAAGAACGACCGATTGGTGCTAAAAAAGCAACCACTTTTCTAAGAACTGGCCGCCTCGCGTGGATTACACTCTGTAGGGGTACCAACCAGACTGGTAACTGTGACCACGCCTGAGCAAGGCTTGACTAGCAGACGAAATCGCAGCAAGAAGCAGCACCCGGAGACCACACTTGCAAACCACTCGGGGATTTCTCGGAGTGCAGGCTTGGTACAGCATTTTAGACAAAATCCCGAGACTGGGGAGAAAAGAGGACAACACAACACAAAGTCTCAATTGAGACTTTGTGTTGTGTTGTCCTTTTTTCCCCCCAGTCTCGAGGTTTTGTCTAAAATGTTAAACTTTCACCAGCTTGTTTGCGCCCTAACTTTTTGTTAGTTAATAATTCAAGATTCAATTGAGACTGTGTTGTGTTTTCCTTTTTACCCCCAGTTTCGATGTTTTGTCTAAAATGTTAAACTTTCACCAGCTTGTTTGCGCCCTAACTTTTTGTTCGCTAATACTTTAAGATGCAATTGAGACTTTGTGATGTGTTGTCCTTTTTTCCCCCCAGTCTCAGGGTTTTCTCTAAAATGTTAAACTGCCAACAGCTTGTTTGCGCCCCTAACTTTTTCTTCGTTAATACTTCAAGATGCAATTGAGACTTTGTGTTGTGTTGTAATTTTTTCCCCCAGTCTCAGGGTTTTGTCTAAAATGTTAAACTTTCACCAGCTTTTTTGCGCCCTAACTTTTTGTTCGCTAATACTTTAAGATGCAATTGAGACTTTGTGTTGTGTTGTCCTTTTTTTCCCCCAGTCTCAGGGTTTTTTCTAAAATGTTAAACTTCCAAAAGCTTGTTTGCGCCCCTAACTTGTTCTTCGTTATACTTCAAGAGGCAATTGAGACTTTGTGTTTTGTTGTCCTTTTTTTTTCCCCAGTCTCAGGGTTTTGTCTAAAATGTTAAACTTTCACCAGCTTTTTTGCGCCCTAACTTTTTGTTCGTTAATACTAAAAGATGCAATTGAGAATTTGTGTTTTGTTGTCCTTTTTTCCTCCAATCTCAGGGTTTTGTCTAAAATGTTAAACTTCCACCAGCTTGTTTGCGCCCTAACTTTTTCTTCGTTAATACTTGAAGATGCCATTGAGACCTTGTGTTGTGTTGCCCTTCCCCCCCCCCCCCCCCCCCCCCCCAGTTTCGGGGTTTTGTCTAAAATGTAAAACTTTCACCAGCTTGTTTGCGCCTTAACTTTTTGTTCGTTAATACTTCAAGATGCAATTGAGACTTTGTGTTGTGTTGTCCTTTTTTCCTCCAGTCTCAGGGTTTTGTCTAAAATGTTAAACTTTCACCAGCTTGTTTGCGCCCTAACACTTTGTTCGTTAATACTTCAAGATGCAATTGAGACTTTGTGTTGTGTTGTCCTTTTTTTCTCCAGTTTCAGGGTTTTTTTCTAAAATGTTAAACTTTCTCCAGCTTGTTTGCGCCCTAACACTTTGTTCGTTAATACTTCAAGATGCAATTGAGACTTTGTGTTGTGTTGTCCTTTTTTCCCCAGTCTCAGGGTTTTGTCTAAAATGTTAAACTTTCACCAACTTGTTTGCGCCCTAACGTTTCGTTCGTTAATACTTCAAAATGCGATTGAGACTTTTTGTTGTGTTGTCCTTTTTTTTCCCCCAGTCTCGGGGTTTTGTCTAAAATGTTAAGCTTTCACCAGCTTGTTTTTGCCCCAACGTTTTGTTCGTTGGTATAGCATTTCTGGCTCGTCGCGTCCCCCAGACACACAGCATTTAAAAAGGCCGCTAAGAGGGCGTAGCGTATTGTGTTTTCCGTGTTGGTTGGTGGAACGTAATTTGTGAAAACTTGCGTAAGGATGATTTGCTACATGGCCAGAAGTTCATGTGCGTGAGTTTCTACCAATAATATAATTCGAGATAAGAAGCAGGGAGCGTGTCGAGCAAGGTAATGATAAAACGGCAAAAATGAAACACTTAAGGAAATGAAAAGTATTATTCTCTTCTTGATGGGTGCCTACAGGGCACCCATCGGACAGGTTGGTATGCGCACCACTGGCAGCTTAAAGTGAAGCAGAGCGCGACTTATGACGGTTCTTGCGTCGTGACGGGTTCTTGGGGCTAATGCAGTCGTCTGATTGGCTGCGCGGCGATAATGCGATACCTCGTCGCACCCTGCCCTTCTCCGGCTGTCAATGACTCCAGACCTCTCTTGGCGTCTTTTAGAGGGTCTCCCGGAGTTCTCTGTCGTCTGGAGAATGCTTCATTCGCTCGTCTTGTGCCTCGGATTGCATCCTTTGGCCCGACTGCGGAAAATCTACCGACGACTGATGACGGAAAACGATTTTCCCGCCGACGTAAGTCAACTCACAGATTGCTTGTCTTCTTGCAATTTGTTTCCGCAATCTTATTGAAAAAGTGAGATTCCAGTTTAGTGTATCTTGGGCCAAATAATTGTTGGATATTTTAAGGCTTTGTTTTATGGATTCATAAATATTTGTTGAAAACTAAGAATAGAAGGTTCCACAATTTCGGGGTCCCCTAAAAAAAGAAGAAAAAAAAACATTCCAGTCAATTAAAGCAGTAAAGGTGGGCTCGCTCCAAAATTGCAAGATTCGAACAGTGGAGAAAATCACGTGAGCGGAATTGTGACTTGTTTTCCCCGAAGTAACATAAAATTTAATAAAAATATTTTAAAAATTGAAAAATTTGCTAGTCAATTGTCTTGCATGCGTGAAGTATTCTAGCATCACAAGCGTTCATATTATCATTTAGCAGCACATCTAGCCTGTTCACGGCGCTCTTCATCAAATAATTTAACGTGTACACTTGAAATGATAAACCTGGTTATCTTCTAGAACATTCTTACCCCCTCCTTCTCTCCCACCTCGCCTCCTCGCCTACCCCTTCTTGTCAGTCCATCCCTGGTCACATGACCTTCCCGTTAACCAATTAGTGCCGATGACGTCACTCCTCTCCCACCCATCAACCAATCAGTGTCGAGCCTCGCGGCCACGCTTTAATTCAGGCTTCACTTTTTGGTTTGACAAAATGCCGAGCATCAAACAAAAGAATGCTTCACGTCAAAATGTTCACGGACTTACGAAGCGAGGACACATGGGCAATACAAGCTCCACACTTCAGGAGCAAAGAAGTCACCTATGATCGGTATGTCAGCATACTACCCAACCCCTAAGAATCATTCTGTATTTTTTGTATATGCTGTCATTTTCTGAGTTCATAATTTAAAAAAAGAGAGCTTGTGTTAGCCCTTTTACCCTGGGGCCATGTTGGTGGCCATGGCGGCCGCAAGAAAAGATCCGAAATCAGTTAATTAGCTACCCAACGAGTTCTCATTTAGTTCTATTTTAAATTTTTATTTCAGTTTATAAAGTAATTCAGTTCCGTTGAAGGAAAATTTAAAGAATTTTAATTGGGATTCAAACCCATGAGGTAAGCGTCCTTCAAGCTTGGACGCGGTCCGTACATAGCTCGCACGATTTTCTTTCGATCGGAGCTTCTCGCAGTTGGCGAGAAGCTGCTCCGATCAAGCTGGGAGTTCCAGCAGGGAAGCCTCGACCGCTTTCTGTAGACACGACAAACATGTGCCCTAACGGGCCGTATTATCTTTTCTTTTCTTTTGTTTTTTTTTCATGCGCGTTATTTTTCTCTAGTTTAGATATAACGACAAAGCGGGTATAGCGAAGTCATTTCAAATTCCCAATCGACTTCGTGATAACCGATCTCGACAGTATTATCCCTCGAGTTAGTTTATCACATTTTCTTTTGAGTATTGTGCTTTTTTTGGTAGTTTGGGGTACATGCACAGTCACAGCAGTGAATTCCCAGATAACTCAAGATTTGTTTTGTTACAGTATACCGATGTTCTCTTGATCGGTGATTAATGCACCGTCGGGTCTGTCCGATGTAGAACCTGTCCCACGAGAGAGGATTAGAATACACCACACCTTCTTGACAGTCAACGGCATGGTGCCGGTGCTTTTCTGTGCAATCTTTCCTACCTTCCCCGATCTTGTTCGTTTTCCTGCACAGAGTACACATCGCTCTGGACCAGGAAAAACGATTTCGACTTCTGTTCTTTTTTCAGTCTTTTTTGTATTATAGGAATTCTTGTGCAAGTACGGAATGACGGACTTTTTTTTTTTGCTACGTGTTCTTGGGCATTCGTCATTGGCTAAACGCTTTTTGAAGTTATTCCGAAATTTTTCGGCCACTGAAGTTAGAGTCATCTGTGGGTAGCCGGCATTCGCAAGTCTGTCTACTTGTTTTAAGAAGCAATTTGATATTTTGTGGCAACAAAGTTTAGAAAGGGTGGAATTAAAGCATGAATTCACAATTCCTCTGTTCACGAGCATTGAATGCGCTCAGCCGAACGAGAGGATCGGCTCATTACTTCTGTGCTCAAAAGCTCAGCATTCATGCCAGGCTGAAAAATACAAGCCTAGGTCTTAAAATCTAATGAAATTGTCAATTAATGCGTTAGTTACAAGCGTGCGAGAGAGTCTTTAAAAATGCTCAAAGTGCGAGTAAATTCGCATACAAATTTCAATTTTTTTGCAGTCTACAGAAACTATATAAGCGTTTACAAATATAAAAACTTCTGCCACTTTGGTGCCCTGTAGACAATCTGCAATTAGCTTGTCATCATTGGCTAAAGAAAGATCACTCGTAATCGGGCCGATGCAGGAACCAATGCATGCTCCTTGTCTTTGGATAAAGATGTCGTTGTCCCACTTCGCAAAAGTTTGACCAAGATGCTCATCAACCAACGAACCCAAATATGCCTTTTAGCAAGCTTCGAGAGTGATACCGATCTCACTTCTCAGAGTGTGAACGTAAATTAAAATGGTGACTGGTGATTTGACTGCGTCGCAGTGAAGCATACATGCCGCAGTTTCCAAGGGCTAACGTGACTACCGCAGTGGTTAACCAGGCTCCCCACTTTTTCACGACGTTGTTCCCACAGCCCGAGAAGAGTGACCTCGTCCAACTGATGCTTCACGCGGCCGCCGAAGCAAAAGCTCAGCCGGGATCTCAACCAGCAAACGATGCACCGAACCGTAAGCACTCGACACGTACTACTAAAAAAAAAATGAAAGACGCTTACAATCCCCTGTAACGCCGAATTAGATCGCAGCTCTTGAGGAGGAGGAGGGAAGGGTACTGAGGGGAGAAAGTGGAAAGTCCCCCACTACTAACTTGGGCGTGGATCGAGGTCTGCTTAACGCAAGTCACAGAAAATGCCCATCTTTGGTAAAACCATCGCGTGTAAATTTGGCGGGAATTTAGAGGGGCAATCTTTCCCCCTAACTTTAGCAGAGAATTGTTTTCCACTAGATTTAGTGGGGAAATTTTTTTTCCGCTAACTTAAGCGGGGAACTTTTTTTCTGCTAAATTTAGCGGGAAATGTTTTCCGCTAGATATAGCGTGGAAATTTTTTCCGCTAACTTTAGCGGGGAATTTAGCGTCATCGTCATCGTGATGACGTCATCCTCATTGTCATCGTCATCGCGCGGTTACGCCGACGGCGACGGCGACGCCGCTCAAGCCGGAAACGGGCGCCTAAGAGCTGCGCTCTAAAATCGAGTAGCCGTAGCAGTGGATGCTCCTCTGTCGCCGACCGCTCCGGCTGACGCTGTTTATCACGACGCAAAAGAACTCTAGCCACACTCTAAACACACTGAACAAGTTTATTGTTTCTCGAGGTCTTGCATGGCGAATTGCTTCTGTTTGCTAACGAAACCATTCGTATATTCCAAAAGAAAAATTCCGGTACGACACCGAAATGGAGTCCAATGCCCTGATCATCCTTATTGCTGGGTAAGTTGGACATCACTCTCCGAGGAAACAAAAAGGCATCTTATCAAAGTTACTGAGCTCCTTTGGTAAAATATGTGCTAACCTCTGCTTCAAAAGTTTCGAATCGATAAAAATTCGAAATTTGCATCATTAGATGTTTATAAACCAGACTCTCTACAAAGGCTTTTTCAGAATATCGATTCATTCATGTGACATACATTGCTGTTCCATCTGTAGGCTGTGTCTGAACTTTCGGGAACCGCGTTGCAGATAATGAAATTAAAAAAAAAAAATTCTCATTTCAGGAGTGTTCCAATCTGCAAAGCATTGAGTTCATGCGCCTTCTTTCTGGCCAAATACCAGGATATTCAGAAGAAGGCAAGAGCAGAAGTCGAAGCCGCACTGGCTCAAGATGTAAGGACAGCCTTTCTTTGTGTTTAGTCGAAACACATCAAAATAATTTATAAATGTTTTGCATTATAGAGAACGCTGATCCAACCTGCACTATTTAAAATCATTTTGCAAGCAACATAATTTGTCTTTCCGTCAGTAATGACTTCATACAAGTTTCTGAGATAAAACTTTCACCATTTCGGAATGGAGAATCAAGGAGATGTTCAATTATTTGTGAAAACAACATTATAAAATGGGCCTGCGGAAACTAGCTTTTAAAATGGAGCTATGTATTAAAATGCGCATTTCTTCGTTCCTCACTCCGCCATTGGTCGTAGCAGAGCGAGCACAGATTCCCTTTCTCTCCTTAGCTAGAGGCCGTCCTCTCTTTTCCGTCGTCTCATTCGTACGATGAACTCTCTGCGCCTCGGTAGATCGACAATTGTATTCAGTGATGCCCCCTTCAGTTCACTCCTTTTAGTTGCAAGGCGTTTTGAAGACAAGAGCATTTCCAGCAAGCGTATGTCCTATATCATAGAATTAATTAAACAATTGATGCGATTGGCGCAGAGCCGTATATGTAGAGAGTTTGGTCAATGGGAGGCGCGGGCAGAGCCAGGGCGTGCGTCAGACTCGGAAAGAGGGTTTGGCATGCTCTCTTGACCAACCAGAAGCCGAAAAGAATCCCCTAGTGGTGGTAGCGAGAAACAGTTCTGATCAAAGGTCTATATGTTCGTATACGGTTTTAAAAAGCGCGTAAGAGTGAAGTGCAATAACTCTTCGTGGTTGAAAATAGGGTGCACGCGTTGTTTTGATCATGATCATGCAGAAAAATGTAAAAAACGAATGCGCCGCTCAACTCTGTTTTGCTAGGACAGAGTGCGACCACTCAGACGGCAGATTCCCGGCCCTCGGCGTACGGATTAAGTAGATTGTTCCGCTAGTCGCACTCTTCCACCATCATTTTAGATGAGCGTGATTGAAACATCACGTGTACCATATTTTCAGCCATCGAGAGTTACTTCAATGAAGTTATCAGGTTTGTTTCTCGCGACCACCGCCAGGGTATCATTTCTGGCTTCTCGTTGGTCACATTCGAATTTCTGAAGACGCCCTGGAACACGCCCAGCCCGCTTTCTGCCAATGGCGCCTCCGCATTTGTCTCCTATACTTCCTAACGAATGGCCAAACTCTCTACATATACGGCTCTGGATTGGCTATACCCGTTCGGATCGGGCGATAGCTTACGCCACCTAGCCTAGAAACATTTACACCCATCCGGATTAAATTTTGCTATAAATATTGCCTCTCGTGAAATCATCTACCCGACGCATGTTAAGTATTGTAACCCTTCGCTAGTGATTCTCGACTAACCTTCGTCTCCTTTTTTTTTTCTTATTGTAATCATTCGTTCCTCCATTCCCGTCATCCTCGCCAGAAGCAAGCCCAACGCTCACACCAATTCTGTTACCCAGAGAGGGCAGGACGTGCATTTAAAAGCCAAACGTTCTAGCGTCTCGCGGTCACTACGGCACGGCGTACGGCCACATATCTCTATCTTTTCAACTTTTACCGTATATGAATCTCCTAGTACTTAATAGCACTCCCCTTCTCGTCTCAAACTGTACAGAACTTCCCCGTGAATCGTCAAACCTCTTTCCCAATAAAATGTACTGCTTTCCCGAGGAGCACAAATTTGGCCTATCATTTGCCAATGGCTGGCGAGGGTAATTTGGCTAGTGGCCAGACAGTGTCCAGCCATGCATTGGTCGATGACTGACCTTTCTCTGGCCACTGGCTATTGGCCACTGGCCATCAGACATCGGCCACAAATTGGGCGATGAATGGCCCTTCGAAAATTGGCCAAAAAGCTATCGCCAGCCATTGGCCAATGCATGGCCAAAATTCGTGCAGCATGGGTTTGCAACTTGTATACGTACTGAAAAACCTGACTTTTTTCCCCTCTTAATTTTTTTTGTTTCTTTGACTTTTTTTTACTGAACTACTTTTCTTTTCCCGATACTAGTGCGTAAGCGTTTAAAAATAAGCTTTCGGGTTCCTTCTGTTAATGTTCTATTCAGATTTTTATGCAAAATTGCTTACATGCTTTTCGTGCCTAACAAGCACCCTCCATTTCAGTTAATCTTTCTTCAAATTTCACGTTACGTAATGCCTTCAAGCTTGCAAAGGATGACAGACCTATGTCTCCCTGTACCCCCTCATTTGATGGTAATTTTGCTACGTTGTCGCCAATCCCCAATCCTCCCCCGCTCCATTTTCTAATCATCAATCCCGATGGAACCCCCCCCCCCTCTCACCTCATTTCCAAGAAACACCCCATTGCCAAAACAACACCCCATTGCCAAGAAATAGTCCAGGCGCCAGCAGTCATTTCCATATACCCCTGACCACTTCATACCTCCACTACAATCCTACTGTGCCTGGAGTTTCCTAATTGCATAATTATTTTCTATTTTCTAATTATATTTCCTTAGTGCTCTTGTAGATATTTCCTTCACTCCTTAAGTCATACCTCAGATATGTTTTCTTGTAAATTGTCTATTCGAACGCGTTGCAGAATGTGTTTTCAGGGGTTGCCTATTTTCGTTGTTAAACACCGTTACTCCTTACCTCTATGAAGTAAGCCTCAGGTCCCAAAATGTCCCCTTTCCTCTCTACATGTGCCAGGTATAGTCCCCACAATGTACTTCGGATATTTGCCATGGGTTCTATACAGAAGGTGTCACAAAAACAAAATCTTCAGGTGTTTTGTTTTTCCCCTAAAAATAAAACTAGGCACGGTCGAACGCTTATTTTCCACCCAAATATGTAGCGCTATAGGTCCGAACCAGATTTCAAAGTTTCACCACTAGCCGTTATCCTAATAAAAGTTATAAGGGATCGCTTTGAAAGTTTTCAATGTGAAAATGGCGGTCGACGCACCTCTCCAATACATAGAACTCTATGGCTCCAGAAACCGAAGACGGGCCAAGACGGGCTCCATTTTCCCATTGGAAGTTTCAGGAAAGAACAGAACTTTTTCATAGGATATCGGTTAGTGCTGAACTTAGGCTTATGGTTCGGACTTCTAACGCTGCATTTGGGCGAATAAGGGACGTTCGGCGAGGCATAGTTTATTTTTGCGTTAAAAAACACCCTGGAAATATTTCAGGGGGTACACCCTGTACTATGACCCGTTACGAAAGTGCACCTCTGTTAGAAGCGGTGTAGTTACTGCATAATGGCGGGCACAAGCGCTACACTCTAAGAAAAAAAGGAGGAGAAAGGTAGCAACAGCGACTGTTCCTCCTTGTTGCGGACAAGTTGCCCAGAGAAGGGAGGAACGGCAGTTCGGATGAATAGAGGAGAACGCGTTCCTCCTTGTTGAGTTGGCGCAGGGGTAAAACATCGCGCTACTGACGAAGTGGTCAAAGGTTCGATCCTCAAAAACGCGGACTTTTTTTTTTTTTTTTCGTTAAATTTTTTTTTAATGTTTATTTACCAAAACACACATAACCAAACCCAGACCGATGAAGGAAAAATTAAAGTCCTTATTATTCACCGAGACGTTTTCCTCCTTCTCCAGGCAGACCGGAGAAAGCTTTCGCCCTCCCGACCCATCTTCTTTCGGTTTCGTTTTTTGAGCACATCGCGCACGTTGTTTAATAAATTAATGTTGAGTTGATTGAGCTTCAGCGGCAGCGAAGGCCGCCTGTAATTCCGTCTTCTAGTCCAAACGTACAGAACATTTCGGTTGCATTGACGTTTTTACCACTAATTTTATCAAACGAGCTAACGAAGCCGCTAGAAACAGCGAAGTTCCGGAGCAGTGCCAGCAGCGCTACATACACTGGGTAAGACGGCCGTCTCCGATTTGCGGGACACACGCGGAACGCGGAACTACAGCAGCGAAACCACGAGGAACTGTGTCGACGTTTTCGACGTTATGGAAATCGCGGGAACTGCGTCCAAGGCAGGCAGGTTTTCCTGCCGGCTGCCTGGGTGCCTTGCCTTCCCTGCTGAGTTCGGTTCTGTTGTCCCGTGCCGAGTGCCAACCGGCATTCAACGTGATTCTGTATTTCTGCGTGTTAGCAACATCGTCAACGTGGTTCTGAATTTCTGCGTGTCAGCGACATCGTGATGGCAGTGTTGTGGGTTGTGAACAGAAGACTGGAATTATCGCCGATGTGACCGTGTGTTCGCGTATCAGTGGTGTAACAACAAGATGAGATGACGTAAACTGTCGGGCATTGATGCCGCTGGTCGGGCCGTGAATGGAGGGGGCGGGGTGTCGCAGGATGACATTCCGCTTTACATTAAAGAGTTTAAAACCACTTGAGGGATCAGGTGCAGTCGATCGACGTGTGGATGGTCATGTTGGAACGCTGGTCTGAACGGTAAGCTCCTATCGTACAGTGGCCAATGTGACTGTCGGTCCCCGAGAGCGATTGCGCTCTGGAGAAAAGACTGAACAGTACGAAAGTACGTATATTTACAATGGAAGTTTAGCATAAAAAAAGGTAAAATCCAAAAAAAGAAAACTCTATCCTTTATTTTACTGTTTAAATATATTACGGTTCCTGTAGAAACTGCCCTCCAAGTGGCGCGCTGGGATGAGCGCTAGACGTTTTCGAGCTCGCAACGGCGTAGCTCGGTACACTTAACAGTTGCCGCAAGTCGCGGCTTTGACTGCATTCAAGTTGATCGAAAAGCGATTTCTCTGCCCGTGAAGCATCACTTCCAGCTGAGTGAATATCCGCTCTACAAAGATTAATTCAAGACGGCATTTGCAGCCGTGCGCGAACAGCACAAATAGAAAAACAAACACTACAATATAAATACTGGCTGCGAAGGGCCGTGCGGGAAAACAAACTCATGGCTTCGAACCACATTGGAGCGGCTTGATTTATTGGCTTTCAAATAATTACGGCATGATCGAGCGTTTTCTTTTTAATAAGAGATTCATCCCCTGAGCCATTAAAAGTAGTCTCAGATGTATGACATTGCTGGAAAAAAATTAACATGTTCGGAATATTTTTTATTGCTTAGGGAGTCACCGAAAAATTCCGTACGTTCAAAACGACCAGTATAAAATACGGAAACGCAGGGCTAGCGTGATCGGGGTAGTGTGCGGTTGTATTGATGTTTGTATGTGCGATGCCTGTATATGCGCTCAATATATGTTCACCTGAAGCTTGTAGTGTGCGTAACGTGTCTACATGTGTTAGAGGACCCCGAACAAAAAAAAAACGCAATTGTAGCGTAAAAAAAAAACTTTTTTTGTAAAACATGAATTGGACGGTACCTAGCGCCACCTAGCCTAGCTACTCGCGATTACTCTGCTTGACCCTGCCATCTGGTGGCAAGCGATTTAACATCTTTTTACGCTATGCGGCTACGCCATAATTTCGTGCTACCGTGCTGAGATAAGCCAAGAGGTTGCTTCGGATTTGCTTTTTTTTTGAGAGCGGCTTTTGGTTTTGCGGGCGAATGGTTTTCACTCCTCCGTGATGTGCGGTTGACGCAACGGTTGACGAAGGAATTGTGGCAACCCCCGGTCACAGTCCGAGTTTCGCGGCGCTGACATTAGCGTCGCCACCATCAGCGGCGCTGTGTATAGCGTCGCCACCGGCAGCAGCGCTTGGGTGGTGGGGGGCTCTCATTAATACAAAAATACAAATATAGAACTTTGTTCGCTAACACTAATTTCAACAAAATGTCTTCACCGAACCATGAAAATAGAATTCAATTTATTTTATATATTTCTTTCTGTTTGTTCTGTTTTCTGTCTGAAACCAAAACTCTAAACCGACCCGCTGGCCTCGCCGGCGTCCTGGGCCCTGGAAGCCCTGGAAGGCGCCGTTGCTCACGCTGCTCCCCTCGCTATACCCTCGCCCAAATTTCAAACTTCGTAACGGCGGACGGCGGTATCGCGTGGTTTTGTTTACCCAAGGGTGCCCGTGCGAGCGTGGTTTCGCTCTCCGGCGTTCCGCGCGCCTGTCGAACTCGATGGATATTTTGGTGCAAACTTTCAGAGACTATTGAGAGGTGTATTTTACGTGGCCATATCCCAATGGTGCACGAACAGCGCAAATTCCAAGACCCACAAGTTTTTGTTTGTTCATTTTTTTTTCTCAAGAAAAGACAGGTGAGTATGTACTCAGTTTTATTTGCTCAGCGAACTTACCATTAAACTTTTGCTGCCCGTAGCTCTTAGTTTGCGGTTTTACCGTACTATAGGCAGGCTCGTTCTCGCAGTAAAAACATATCGCCCCGAACAAGTACGGTTTTCATGAAGTTAATGGTATACACTTAGCCCCACTTCGATTTGTGCACAACTGCTTATTTAAAGTCCAACAATTGGGTTTAATCTAGAAAATGCTCTTTGGCGGTCCTCGAGCAGACGGAGGATAATAAAAAGAAAGAATGAGGCTTCCTATATATTAATTTGAAGTTTCATTTATTTCTGCATGGTTCCGGGTGCGACAACGGCATTATGTCATTAGTTTATTCTCTGTAGATAGACATTTGTTTTGTTTTTAAATTAGTTTAAAATTTTAAATATCATGACCACATTGTCATTACAGATCCTGGGACATATGGAACGAGCATTTGAACGTTGTCTCAAGGAGGAAAAAAACTTCGGACACTTCGTGGTTCCCAACCAGTTGTACAGCCTGTTGAGTGCCTACATTTTTCGAAGCTTTATTTCACATTTTCATCTCGGTTGCATGAGAAGCTATGAATATGTAAAAATGAAGCTAATGATTGCTGGGGGCATCGTAAGTGGCTTATGTTTTTTTAAATCAGTGAACATGCAACTTTACTTTCAGTAAACAGCTGATCCAACTTGGCATGTTGAATGCATAATTATGTGGGTCAATGTGTACACTTGTAAAGATATGCGTTAGTGACAATTCCGAAGAAGTGATAGTGATAAAATTAGTGATAAAGCCCATTCCCAAGGTGTGCGGAGGCGCATGTAATAATGAAGTGATGAGATCGTCCACAGATGAGAGGTGCTGGCGACCTGAATCGGGTGCTTGTGGGCGAGGTTGACGAAGTGATTTTGTCAATGTTTTATTTTTGCGCGCATGCAGGTGCAGTGCTCTACTTAATTCCGTTTTAGCATCTGTGCAATAAATATGCCTCGAAATATTTCGGTACGTCGCAGCTCTGGATTCCTTACTGGACGGCGGGACGCCTCGAAACAGAACAACGAACACACACGAATACGCACCTTATACAACTGAAAGCCAAATCGCACATCGTATATTACGTTAGGGACTTTTAGCGAACTGTTACCGTGTTCCGCGTACCGCATTATCGGGGCCTTTGAAACATGCTTTATAGGCGCGCACACGGAGTGATACCGTGACAGCGGGGCGCGCACTTAAAAGCATGCTTCAAAGGCTCCGATAGTGCGGCACGCGGAACACGGTTTGTTAAAAGTCCCTATTATTACACTACCGGGACCGGGCGTGGTGCTCAGGAGCCTGGATCCAGGCTCCAACACGATCCCGAAGCGATCCATACGAGAACCACCCTGCAAAAATAAAGGGGCGCCATGTTGGATTCTTTACGGCTTGGCTTAGAAACGGCTTCAGAGCGGGCTACTACGTTCCAAACGTGTATATAAAAGTCGGTTTGAAAAGTGAGCCAGATATTTTATTAATAGCATGGTTAGCTCTTAATATAATTTTACAATTTACCGAATATAAAATGATAAGTTGACTCGTTCAAGTAATGAGAGCCCCCGACCACGGACGAGGAATTCGGCGCTACTATACAAAACTCGACTCCATTGGGCCTATTGAAAATGTCCGGGGGTTGATTGTGGCTCGAGGAATAGCTAAGGTAAGACATAAAGTGCGCGAACTTGGTGCCGGTTGTCTCCGTTGAACATCGCACTGCTGACGATGAGAAGACTGAGTGACTGCATGCATTCGAAACGCAAGTTTCTTTACCTGCAGGGGTAAAGAAACTTCGGAAATAAATACAGTTCGCGGAAAGCTCGTGTTACGTTTTTATTTGGTGCTCCTCTCGCTTCGTACAATAGACTTAGTGTTCTCGTTAAGCCTTACCGAGCTCGATTTGCTCGATTCGTGGCTGCCATAATGAGATGCAGTCGACGGAGGAACTTTTGCTCCCCTGCTTAAGGGACGAAAGTTTCTCTCTTTCTGAAGGAACATATGTGTCAAGAGCGTTCCTCCCTTTAGGGAGGACTATACTGACCCTTTTTTCTAAGAGTGTAGCTTCTTGCCTTTCATTGCCCCTGCACTACATGACTACACTCTTGCAGCGGGAGTAGCTACGCGCTGGCGCCAGTTGCAGGTTCCGGGCTGTCGGTTGGCGAACGAAATGTTGCCGCGTTTACTAGATAGTTTTAGAATAACGTAAACAATTTTAGCGCACGTTAGCGGTAACTTTAGCACTTGCGTTAGAGCGCACATTACGAAGGAGAGTTTTAGAATAGGATTTCTCTGCAGCGACGCAAAACCCAAGTATTGATTAAATGTAAGAATTTGACGCGAGCGGTCCACCGGTTGTGTCCGCTCACGACGCCTTGGCAATACCTAGAGCTCTCTTATACCTATACGCCGAGAAGCGTTGGCGCGTCGCAAACAGCAAGTTAACGGTGTTCGCTGTCCACTTTGTCAGTCCTTCCAAACCTTTCGTGGCATGCGCCTCACATAGAAGTGCAATGTCGTCCTATTCAAAATTGAAGTTGCCAGGATGCCGCCGACATCGCGCTCATGACGGCGACCAAGCAGCCGCTGTCCTGTGGAAGCCGCCATTTTCTAATTGCGCTCGTCTTTGGTGGCAACTTTTTGCGCATCATGAATTGTATGTGGAGGAACGCCCAGACGGCAAAAACTCTTTCCATACGTAGCCAATTTCTGAAGAATAGCTTACGTAAGCATTTGCACGGAAAACATGTAAAACATTTGCGTACGCGATTATAAAGTTTCTTAGTAACTACCGCTTCACAATAAAAGTTTCACCGTTAGCGCAATGGTCGAGTATTGCACTCGTAATCTTAGGGCTGTGGTGAAGATTCCCTTTGGAGGACTTTCAGAGTTTTGTTCCGTCGTCTCATTTTATCAACTTAACAACTATCTCGCGCAGGTGCCTTTGTTTCGCGCAGTTTCGCGTAACAGAGCACAGCATTCTTTGAAGGGGAGGAAGGAAGGGGGGGGGGGGGGGGTTCGAATAAGATGTTATCGCATTTCAAACTAGGATATATGCGTGCAACAAACACATTCTTTCAGCATCGTTCTGTGTTTCCCTGTGCGTAACAGAACAACAAAACTTGTTTTCTAGGGTAAGCTCACTTTCGACAACATTTCGGCCATGCGGTATTTGAAGCAGGTCCTTCTGGAATCTCTCCGTTATACATCGTCTGCATTCGGGTGAGTCTTCGATTCCCTCTGCGCTCTTTGTTCCCGCCGTGAAGCCCATTTAACCTCCACTTGCGCTTCAACTGGCGGTGGTGCACTGAACAGGGAAAGTCGCCGCGCCAAGAACCTTGGATGCCACGGTTGCTGCTCGGCGTAGTACTTTCCCTCCGAACACTCGTTGAGCCAGCTTCGGTTTATGGCGCTGCTGGCTCAGTGAACAACGGGGAAGCCAAAAGGTTCCAAATGTCAAGGTGTAGTCTGCGTCGTTACACAGAGCATGATGTCCACATGTGAAGCGTCATGTTCAGTGTCGCACCGTAAAGGTAACTTTCTGACCGAACTTATCGTCTGGATTTGCTGAATTTGCTTGTTTTTTTCTTCTTTATTTTTTTTTAATCGTAGCGATTGGCTCTTTTCTTACTCTGCAGGAGCGTGAAGAAAGCAGTGGATATATTTTTTTTTAATGGCTTATCTGTGAGCGAGTGTAGACCAGTTCCAATAATCGCCTTTTTGCGCTCCGCCATCTTTGTCTACTGGGCTGCAAAGATATTGCGTGCGCAGTAGCTCTCTTCTGCGGAGCAACAAATGTCCCAGACGAGTCCACAGCCCACGGTCTCGGCATTCTGTGCATATTTAATGAGCGCTAGACAGGTGTATGGAAGCGAAAAGTCTGCAGAGCGTGCAGTTTAGAAGTAGAAAAGGATGCACTCCCAAAGCTCGAAACCCACCAAACACGCCTCTTAAAGTTACTGCTCCGGCCCTCAAACGTTCGGTATCAATTTTTTTTTTTTTTTTTAGTCGGCGGGGGGGAGACGTTTTACGAGTAAACAAAATGTATGCAACGAAGTAAGAGTGCGTGTTTTCCCCACTTTCACTTAATGAGCAAGTGTATAATTATGTACAAGTTAAAATAATTATTTTTCTGCTGTTCTCAGCAAGAAATGTTTCGCTTTTAAGTCTCGCTGGGAAATTTAATTGTGCTATTATTTACGCTAATTTCATTTGCCCCCTAAATTTAGCGTAGAATTTGCGTTACGCTTCGTCGCGCACTTGATCTTTGGGGTTCATTTTTTATTTTTTTCAAAACCCTTAGCCCCGTACACGTCCTGTGTAAGAGACAACGCGAGGCATGTTGGTAGCCTTGAACTCTCAAGTGGACAATCGGGCATCGTTGGGTCGCAGGAAACACACGTGCGGGAAACAGGCAGCTCGAAGGATGGCCGCAGTTGTCGCATTCCCTTTTCTATGCCGAGTTGATTATACATCCACATTCCGTGCTTTAAGCGTCTGTTTAATTATAAGGCTTTTTGTTGTTTTAGGCGAATCCATAAATGTGTACGCAAGTGCGCCGTCATTAAAACAGATGCGTATTATGTCGTAGTCAATTCTCCACGTGTGAAAGCTCTAACTGTGTCATTTCGAAGAGTTGTAGGCTTTATTGTTCCGTTTGAGTTTTCCAGCGAAGTCGATTACATTCACGTGCCAGTGTTTTGAGCATCTGCTCATCGCAAGGCTGTTGCCTGTGTTGAGCTCGACGAATCTATGTATGTGTGCGCAGGTGCGCATCGCGCAAAATAGATGTGCTCTTTAATTCGGATGAAATCCTCTACCTGTCGAAGATACAACCGTCTAATTTCACGCGTTAGGGCCTATGGGCGACATGCTCGACGATGATTCATTTAACTGTCAGCAAACATAAAGGAGGCAATGGGGCCTGCGTCTCGTTTAAGTTTGCCAACTGGAGTGACCGAGGTGCGTTGGTATACCCAAAGATATATAAAAAAAAAGATAGGGATAAGAAATGTGTATACCACGGTAAGACCATCCAGTATTTATCTTCAGGTATAGTGCCCGAAAACCATTACAAAATCTTCCGCATTAATGAGTTCTAAAACCTACCGAGTTGCGAATAAAACAACTTGTAACGACTGACGTGTGAATTCCTTTGCCAACGTTTATAAAAAATATGCCAAGTTCAGCGCACGCAATGTTGGCAGACAGTAATCTAATTCCGCCGATATCGCTGAGGTGCACCCAAAGCTGACGAAATATGAGTGTCAGAAAACAATTGCGCAGTACGAACATGCACAACGTCATCGATCATAATGCGAGAGGCTGTTAATTCTTCCTCGTGCTAAAAAGAAGTTAGGAGAGCTGAACTCAGGAAACCCTGAAATTTGAAGACGACTATTAAACATTTAGTTTCGTTGTCGTCCCTGTTTGTCGCAGATGTATTTTCGTGACGCTGCTTTTGTGTGCGTGCTTTTTTTTAGTCCAATAATAACGCCTTGCCATATATTATTCTATATAAACTAAGTCATCTACCGAAAGCTTGCGTGCATTAACAATGCAACAGGTTTTACAAAGAGCAAAATGTATGTAAATTAATAATCGTTTTCCGTAGAAGGAAAGAAATGGGACCTCAGTGCACATCCATGTTTTTATGGGCTTTGAGGCAGACTATTCTGAACAAGGTTTTCTTGTGACTAAATTTCAATCTGGTTTGTTTGCCTCATCAATAGACTATAGTGTTTGTTAATTATGTGAGTACAATGAAACATTTCTGGTGAAATACAGAAGGATCTTGCTTTTTAACAATATCGACAGTGAGGGAGTTCCAGTTTGAAATAGACAGCGCAAGTGGTGACAGTTTTGACCTATTAATGCGACCGAATATTGGCTCAACCTTCAATGAATGATCATCACGTAGGGAAATATATGAGGAAGGCTTGCAGTACATCAGCATGAAAGATGGCATGTTATAATATATTTCATGAAATAGAGAAAGACGAGACAGTTTGCGATGTACATCGAGTGAAGTTAGGTTTAAAAGACCCTTAAGTTGAGAGACGCTGTTTCTGAAAGAATAGTTACGATGAATTAATCGCGCTGCCCTGTTTAGAATTGACTTAGCCTATTGATCAGGTAAGATTGGTGAGGTTCCCATATAGTGCTTGCATATTCAAGTCTAGATCGGACAAGGATTTTGTATGCCATTATTAGCTTTACATCCTGTCGGGCTTGGCAAAAATGGCTCCGAAAAAAACCTAGAGTTCTAGATGATTTGTTAAATATGTTATCAATGTGAGTATTCCAAAACAGGTCCTCCGTGAAAGTGATACCGAGGTATTTATAAGAGGGGACAGGTGAAAAAGCAACAGAGTTGTAAGAGTAGGATGGAATATACGTTTTTGAACGATTATAAGAGACCATATTTGTTTTCACGATATTAGTATTATTTGTCAAGTTAAGCATCATCCCGGCAGAATCTATGCCCCGATGGAGGGTTTCCGAGTCACTGGGAAGGAAAATTCTGCGGTATATTACACGATCGTCTGCGAAAAATCTTACGAATGACGAAATTAGCGGAGGTAGGTCATTAATGTAAACCAGAAAAAGCAAGGGTCTTACGACGCCCGACTACCCGATTTTACTTAGTACACCCCATTTTACTGAAATTGGATGGGATGGGAAGGGGGGGGGGGGGGAGGAGTGTCTTCGACTGACACAAACTGTTCGTCATTACCTAGAAAATAAGAAATCCAATTGATAATGTCGTTGTTTATGTTTAGAATTGAAAGCTTTTGTAGTAATTGTTGATGAGGGACAGTGCCGATGGCTGTATTACGGTTCGTGCCTTCCCGCGAAATATTTTCCGGAGCATAGTGACAGCAGGGCATTCAAACATTTCAAATGTCGACCTATTGGACTACCTTCAAACGCCCTTGTTTCATTTCCGCACGAGAACGGCATGCCATTTTATTCACCTTTCAAGCAATAATTTGTATGACGCGCTAGCAGGGTCTGTAGGTGGTACGATACCTATACAATTTAGGTTGCTGCTGAGGTGCAAAAATTTTCCAAAAGCCGGGATTCATGATTAAAAACAAATACGTCCGACTTGCATAACAATACCAACATTTATCAGACGTTTCGTCTCCTATACGGGAGACATCATCAGTGCGGCCTGGGAACACCCGACTAGCTACCAGAAGTCCAACGCTTCTTCTTCCTTCTCTTCATCCGTAGCGCTGATTCCGCCAACTTCTGCGTCGATGCCATACGGGAGACATTATCATCGTCTGCACTCACTTCAACTTCTTTTTACGTCCGTCCTGGATGGGAAGTTAAATGAAAGGTTATTTCAGGATGTCGGTGTACACGTCGGGGAGGGGGCCGCGGTTAGTATAGGAGATGAAACGTCTGGTAAATGTTGGTATTGTTATGCTGAGGTGCTTTACGTTTGGGATTCCATGCTCTCGGGGGTTTCATTCTTCTTCAAGCTAAGGGTGTTTCTTTCGGTTTGTTTTATTTCCCGACGGATTCAGTATTTTCTGGCGTCCATCTTCGGTGCCGGATAAATAATTAAAAAAAAAAGTCGCCGATTACGGGGGCGTATGTGGAAACAAAAACTAGATGGGGACGTAGGGTTTCCCAACCGTTAGCGAATATGCGCGAGCCAAATACTTGGAAATTATCTCGATACCGATAAGTGCCGATGATAAAGAGAACAAAGCGGGGCAACGTCTGTGGTTCCCAATGAAAGAACCAGCATCGAAAACACTTCAGCACGTGCTGTTTTCGGGCTCCGCACAAAATGGAGCTGTAGATTATTTTGACGTTATGGTGGCGCTTAAGACGAGGACAAAAGGGAGACTAGACAACACGGAGCGCTACTTCAACTGTTTATTTTTTTTTTTTTTTTAAAAAGGGGGGAGGGGAGATTATATAGACGATTGCAAGCTGGGCGACTCGCCGCCGCCATGTCTCTGCTCGAGCAGGCACGCCCGTGCGATTACGAGCTTGCCAAAGCTACGTTCACCCGCGCGTTGCACGCGCTTGCACGCATGGGGCACCACTTGTGGCGCCATGCTTGCAATTGTCTATAAACTCAAACCGCTTCACCTCAGCCAATCCCAGGCCCCACTGTCGCTCGTAAAAACGCTATCTCCTTGTCTAACAGGTCAATTGACGCAACGCTGACACATTGTGCTCCAGACTGTTTTATCAAGTCTGCTTCTATTATTTCCTCGACCGTCTTATCATTGCGTCTGGCTAGAATCGCGCACGTGTTGAACAAGGGCCTGCATCCACAATCGTGACAATGATCGGAAAGATGACCGTCACGGTGGTTATTAACATTCAAATTGTGCTCTCGTAACCTATATTTAGGCATCTCGCTCTTTGCCCGATGCACTTTTTACCGCATGACAACTGAATCACGTACACGACTCCCTCTGCGCAACCAACAAACGGGCTGCTATGCTTCTTGCCACAGCGCAGGGGGCCACCGCGAAAGGGGTTCGTTAATCTGCACAACCTGTGTAGCTTCTCCGGAGCCGAGAAAACAACCTTCGTATTCACTCGGTTAGCTTTTTTTATATTTTTTTTTTTTTTTAATTTTGCACACTTTTATGCATATAGAGGACAACCGCTATATTTTGTTTACCTTGTTGCTCTTTGACTAAACCCGAACAAGGGTTATCTTGAATACTCAGCCTCCTGAGAACGCCTTTCGCAACAGACAAATAAACAGTTGAAGTAGCGCTCCGTGTTGTCTAGTCTCCCTTTTGTCCTTGTCTTAAGCGCCATCATATCGTCAAATTCCCTGTACCAACTAGCCTAACAATCTGCACTGTACATGATGTTTTCTTTCCGCGAGGCTTGGGCTATCTTCTACACAAAGACATTTTTTATTCGGGATTTCTCAGTTTTCCTCCATACCTGCTTGGTGATAGCTTTTTCAGGGTTTATCGATAAATACCAAAAACAGGGAACCCTATTGTTATTGTTGAATGTTTGGCGGTTACAGGGGCTTTGGGTAGGCTGAAAGGCTTTTGAATGCCTGGGAATCGTTGAAAGGGGAAACTCCGGTCAAAAACAAAAACAAAATAAATTACTGGTACCACTCGAATGGCACGAAATATGACCACAGCCGAAATATTCCGTCAAATTGAAGTCGCGTACTCCACTTAAACTGATTTCAAAAGTGCGATCACCTGCTCTTTAGCAGGCGGCAATAGGGTTAGCTTTCAGGTTCTTAGTAAAGCAGCAGTAGGCAACGCGTAACGCAGCACCACCGTGACGTCACGTCGCAGCCGTACAGATTATGATCAGTGTTGCCATTCCTCTCTAGTAGATAATTTCGGTTTTGCCGTAGACGCCCGAAACCAAACTTTGAGCCGTGATATTTATAAAACTACACACAATAACAAAAAAATATATATATACCTTGTAATTCAGGAACGCAGAGGGATCTAAAAGCAGTCGTAATCAAAATTTCAAAAACCGCTAACGCACAATATCCCTAAGGGAAGCTTTGCACAAGATTTAATCAGGGACATCGGGAAATAACAGACATTCCAAACGCTCAGCGGTCAGCCCTTAATTGTCTGATCCTGCGGGAATTCAATTGAGAGTATGCTCGTCCCAACGTCCGCTGCTCGTGGCACGATTTAAGACTGTTGCCACGAACGCGCATGTCCATCACTTACAGATTCAACACGCGGATCACGGGCCAGGAGCATTCCTACAAAGGCCTGACAATCCCGAAGGGAGTGACCGTCGTGGTGCCGTCCTTCGACCTCCACAATGACCCGGACCTCTTTTCACAGCCGGAGCTATTCGATCCCGAAAGGTGGTAATTTTTTCCGTGATCGCCTGATCTCGGTGTGACGTCAGTTGATGCACGGACTCTCACAAGTGCACGAACTTACGCCGCACCGCGGTGAACCCGGAACACCGATGAAATCTTATGAACCAACGAGAGGGGGCATACCCCAATGGATATTCGGTTTCATCCGCAAGGGAAGGAACACCTTTTCTGGCACCGAGACAGATTGAGGCACGAACATTAGCCAAAGTGGACAATGAAAACGCAATACTCCTATTGAAGAAAGGACGTCAGCATGAACTTCTGCTGAGATTGTATGATATAGACAGTGAGGCAACACTGTCCCAGCACGGTGTGGCATCCTACCCGGTTCAGTTTAATTGCCACACTATGCTGGTTACTCCGCAGAGTTCTTCAAGCGGCGTACGTAAATGAGCGACGCCAGGTGGCGGATTAAATACTTTCGTGGTTATCATGTCAAATCATAGACTCCTCTATACTGACAAAGCGTGGCAGATCGCCACAAGACGCGGCCGCCGAAAGTGAAAAGGTGGAGCGGCTGACAACAGTCATGTAACGAGCGCACCGCTGCGGCGAGACGCCGAAACGCACTTCTGCCGAGCGATGGAATGTCCGCTCGTGCTCCTCGCGTTCCTCGAGCTAACGCTTTTTGTTCTCGCCGGGTTTGAAAATAATGTTTCGGATCCACACCGCTGCAAAAGCTGTGCGCTGAATGCCAGGTTCCCCGAGAAATGTTCTCTACTACCAGAGCCTCACTCTCCAAATCTGCGACCGGGCACTCTATGGCTCCGCCGTCGAACTGCCAGGCTTTGTGAGTATAGAGGAGGCAAAGGTCAAATCTATGGTCGCACGCGCGCTTGCGCGTTTTGAGCATCAATCAGAGCTGCGCTCGCGCACTCTCCACATCTGAAACTTACACAAAAAGGTAAATTGCACAGTGAGGTTCGGCCCCCATTTTGCGAAGCGCGGGAAGACTATTCGCGACTCCAGCGACCTATAGGGGGCGCCACCACCGAACAAACATGGCGGCTGAGTCCAGGTCGCGCCGACTCGGCCGGGCCGCCTGAACAGGTGGCGCGCTCAATTTAACAGATTTTCTTTTGCTTAATGCCCAATTTTATAGCTATTTGAACTGAGACGGCTAAGTGTAGCCGGTGCACATAAACTCGCAGAGCATAGTTTTGTTTTCCCGGTGTTTTTTGTTCTTTTCATGTCAAACTGTCGTTTCGGAGATTTCGTTCAAAACCGAACTATATGGGCTCTGGAGAGTCGGTAATATACTAATCAGTTTTGATCATCTAAGAAAAGCGGCAATGACCGCAGAATTCTTCCGCCGACAGTAATTTTCAGCCAACTCGCATGCCTCGACCATCCGACTAATCTGTCCGCGAAATCGAGCTTTGTGCGTATCCGCGTTTAAGAAACAGCTCCAGTCGTCTGCTCGGTCAACGACACAGGCTGCACGAAAATTACGAAAATTAAGCAAGCGCTTCTTGAGCCAAGGAGCATGTTAACCCGCCGGCACCCCACTAAGCAGCTGATACTCGTATTTCAATTCAGGTTTTGTGGCAATCGAGAAGTCATTTTGACAGAGCGGGTATGTATTATATTACGTACTATATGGGTCCCACTAAAGTGGTATTAGTATATTCTTCGGGTTGAAATATGAGCTTAGTTGACTAGCTATTAGGTGAACTGCTGAATAAAAGTATATTTGACAGACAGAGAGATACTACTTAAACTTAGCCAAATAGTTCTAACCGGCAGCACGGAGACAAACTGAAGAGAGTCTTCATTGAAGATCCATGCAGAACCTCTCTGCATTGAACTTTGCTTCGGATCCTGAACGGAGAAAATAAGTATTTTTTGTGGCCGGTAAACCTGAGCAATGTAGACATATATTGCTGCTGGCTTCGACGCGGGTATAATATAAATATTGGAGTCGTGATAGATCAAAATGCCGTAACAGCTTCTAACGTTGCGAGACGCGTCCCCCACCTTTTGAAAACAGAAAATTTCCGTCATTCATCATTTGCAGCGAGCAGGTTTTCCTGAATCAAGTAATTGCGAAATCGGCCCAACTCCTTCAGAGTGGTCCAGGTGCTTTTTCGACGAAAAGCAGCCAAGATGAATAGCCAACGCACCGACCGGCGTGGGTGGCTCAAACTTGAAGCTAATCGAACACAACCAAACTCAAGAAAAGCAGCTATCGAACCTTCCCATTCACTTGACTGCAACATTGGTGTTCCCTCCAGTGAAATGCCTCGTCTGTCGTCCCCAGTCCACTGTTCTACATCCTTATAAAGAAACCCCTTATCAGTTACCAAGTAGTCGTCACTTCGAATGTGATTCGAGACAGACAAGAAATCAAAACGTTTTTCCGCGATTCCTCTCCATCCAAGAAAGCGAAAGCACGCGACCGTGTGTTGTCGAGTAAACGGGCTCTCAAACACGTGATGGAAGGAAACCATCTACTGAGGCTTCACCACACTAATGAACACTAAGGCAAACTTGAGAAATTTTCGGACCTTCGTCAAATTACGTTGTTCGCCACCGCGCCGACAACACGTGTCCGCGAAAGCCACAAGAGACGCGGAGGGGCGCGGAGCGACCTGGACCGGCTGGTTCCCGGTTTTCCCGCTTGGTGCCGTCCGGTTTGCTGGAGTCGCGAATACAAGTTGAAGTACTGAAATGTGGATGCTCGCGTTGCGAATGATCGGACAGAGAACAATGCCAGGCGTTTTGTTATGTTGCCTACGCTCTATAGCCACCGCGAATCTGTCCCACCCTTGCAGATTCGACGGGAAGGGCATGAGTGCCGAGGACACGGCCGCCCTGCAGGTGTTCAACAACGGCCTGGGCACCTGCGTCGGGATGAAGCTCGCCCAGGTGGAGATCGTGCTGGCCTTGGCGAGTCTACTGGCCGAGTACCGACTGGTCCTGGACGAGACGCGGCACACGGTCGGTGTGGGGTCTTGCAAGCTATCGAAAAAGAATCCAGCGTCAATTATAATTTCCCTACCTCGGTCATCAGACACACTGAAACCAACTGGCTCTAAACTTTCTCAAAAAAAGAACACTCATTGGACCACATTGGCCCAATGGACGAAGGGGGGGGGGGGGGGGGGGGGGGGGGAGCTTGGCCAATGGCGGGGGGCGGGAAAGTCGTCTCAGTGCCAGCGAGCGTGACGTGAACGCACGCCGCGATTATCTATACTTCGATTCAGCTTCGGTCCGTGCGTGGCCGATGTTCTGAGACGAAGGGCCAATCAAACAGCGAAAGAGGCACAACGTCATGGCCTGTTCTGTGCAGTTGAAAGGAGTAGCTGACATTCTCCGCCTCGCTGTGCGTGCTCCTCCGCCAGCTAGTCCCATCAAGCGCAGAGAACACGCCATGACTTTGCGTTTTTTGCGCTGTTTGATTGGCCCTCCGGCTCATAACATTGTCCGCGCTCGGATCTAAGGTAAAACGAAGTATAGTGTGTCGAAGATCGGACCCCTTTTAGGTGTTTGCGGCCTCGTCATTCGCGGAGGCTCCTCCCGTATAGACGACGGAACTATGAGCAGTTTGTTTTCCACGGAGCCCCGTTGTTCTTCTGGCACAAGGCCCCGTAGAAAGGATTCGTTATCGACATCGGCCAAACGCGGCCACCGCTTGAAAATTGTTGCGTCAGTGTTCAGCTAAGACGTTCAAACTGCACTGACTGAATGACAGGCTTATGCAGCGTTTGGTTACGTCAGCCCTAGTGCAGCCAACCACACCTAGACAGAAGGCCTCCGCACGCGCCATCACAGTCGGATCCATCGAGGCGTGAGATTATGCACGAGTGCTGTGTCAGTGTTCGGCTGGGGCTCGTGCCCAATGAGCGCGTCGAAGGTCACGCTCGGGCCCAATAGCCGAGTTAGCGCCATCCGACTCTGATGACGTTTCATAGAGGGAGAGGAGACCATGCGGAGGTCTTCTGTCTAGGGCTATGTTCCAAATCTTACCCGAGTAACCTGCCTCCTACGTAAGCGGGTAATACCACGTGACATCGCGAGTAAACGATCCGCGACTCGATTTTGGAACGGCCAGGATAATCACCTGGATACTACGCGGATTGGCTTCGTCTTGGGCGACGGCAAAAAGAAAACACAGCAGCGATGGCAGAAAATAGCAGACGATCCTTTTGATCATGGAGAAAGCACCCGAAGAACGGTAATGTTAATGACGACGCGGTGTATTTTGAGGTGGATCCACCAGCTCCTTTTACTCACCTTCGTTTTGAGCTGTATATTGAGATCAAAATTACTTACTCCTTACAGCTGGACATAAAAAAAATGTGTTTTTATTAATCAGCGCGATCGCTGCAATTCTAGTCACGGTGCCCTAAACGCATATATTCCACGCATTGTAATTTGCACCGATTATGTTTTGCAGAAATATATTCCACACGGTGTAGCGGTACAGCGCGAGGGTGCTTTCTCCAGAATGATATGAAACTCACGTTCGCTTTGACGCGAATGTGATTACAGTGAAATTTTCGAAGCCTTCACTGCTTTACAAACGTTATCCTCTCATTACACACACTCTGGAGGAAACAAAAATATTACATTATCATATACCGAGTTCAAACATTTTCGGCCTTGAACGTGAGATTACGGCATTCCCCCAACGCCGAGGACGCGGAGAAGCTCCTGTTTACGGTCGCACTCAGATAATAACAAGTACACGTTCCCGGGGAAGGTGGACGGTCTGGATGTAATGCAGTCAATTCCTTCGTTGACAACAGCAAATCACAATAACTACGCATGCGGCACCTAATTCTTTGTCATTTCGAACGTCCGCCACCAAAACCAACGGAGCAAGCGAGCTTTGACGGCTGTCGGCGCAGAAAGCAGACGACGAACATATCACGTGACGTATTTACTCGATTTGATCCGACTTTACCCCCCGATCGAGGAGGGTAGCGCGAGTAATTACTCCGGAGTAAACAACCCGCTTCTGGAACGCGACTTCTGACGTCATCGAGTAAGCTCGAATAAGTTTTGAAACGCCACGGTATGAAACTTTTACTCCGGAGTCGGATCGAGTAAATTTTGGAACACAGCCTAGGTGGTGTTGGTGCAGAGTAACGAATATAAACAAATAATGTATGTTGTTGACCCCGTGGGTTTCGTTCTCTCCGCTTGGGGCGCGACGGTTGAATCTTCTCCCCGCACTGATCGGCTTTTCTACGTACGGCGATTTTGTCTGTCACCGCCAGCTTTAAAAGGTAACTCTGGTCGAAACCGAAACCAAAAATAAATGACTGAGATCGGTTTTGGTGGCACGAAATACGACCACAGTCGATATATATACTACGTCAAAGTGAATCCGCGTACTGCACTAAAACCGATATTACAGGTGGGACCAGGTACTCTTTTGGCGGGTGGCAACCAGATTGGCTTTTGGTCATGCAACACTGGGCAACGCGCGTACCGCAGCACCACCATGACGTCACTTCGCGCCCGTACAGCCAACGTTACTACATTACCTCAGTTGTGGAATTCCGGCTGAAGGGGGTAGCACCCCTCAATCACTTCAATCCACCCGCCATCGTTCGAAGCGCATCTACATTCTCGTTTTATAGCTGTGCGTTCCATAGAGCTGCATAGAGCAGAGCAGAAACGCCACCTAGATGCCGTGGCTTCGAAACGAACGTATCCGATAGAATACACTGCAGAAACCAAAGCAGCCGTGCGGCGCGTCGAGCGACACCAGGCGAGTCGTGGTGAGTGAGGGTGGGTACTGCTCGTGCATGCAGGGCGTCTATGAGCAGTTCACTAACTGAGCTAATCTAATGACGTTGCGTACAGCTGATGATCAGTGTTGACATTTCTCTCTAGCAGATAGTTTCGGTTTCGCCATAGACGCCCGAAACCAAACTTTGAGTCGCGATAATTATAAAACTACACACAATGTCGAGAGAAAAATTATACTTCGTAGCTCGGGTACACTGACTGAGCTGAGAATAGTTGTAGTCCCTAATTCGAAAATATTAACCCGAGTTGCCGTACAAGGCGGGAAGAGTCCCGAGCGTATCATTACAGCTCCATTAGAAGGGCCAAGAACATGAAAAACCACGCGTTTCTTAAGCCTAACTAGATATCTAGCTTTCACCGAGCTCAGTCATGCATCATAGAGAACTAAAAGGCCTGAGTTTACCCCGAGCGAAGCAAGACACGCTGAAATTTATTCCCAAGCTTTTCGTTACGTATATTGGCGTTTAGTTAATTCGAATAAACATTCCAATATAGACTGAACGAAACAGGCCTCGCGAGGAAATCTTGGAGGTGAGGAAAGGTTTTCGATCATCTTTAGCGTTGTCACGAAGTAAAGTATAATGAGTCATACTTTTGCAAATATCTCTCCTCATAATTAGCACCGTTCATATAAAAAAAAAAAAACGGGAGACATGCCACAAAAATGAGTACACGTTGGTTCGCTTTTTTTTCTTCTTTTGATACTCGTTTTTTTTTTTTTTTTTATCTTTGCACATCTTTTAGAAACTACTTTAAGCATTCTGAATATTATCAGGCAGGTAAAGCTGCGGAAAAACTTGGGCGGTTTTAGGCTCGCGTAAAACTGACCGTTTTGCCCGGGCCAGGTATCTTCATTTAATCTCTGTGCACTTCCATTCGCTTTAGGGAGGACGCCAAGAGTCACACATGATCGCGAGGAATTTCAAGAACCCGGAAATCTGGATCAAGTTTGAGAACATCGTGAAGCCATCTGCCACGTCGAACGGAACGGTGTTCAACTGAAAAGGAGCGTTAGAAACAAAAGACCCGCGTGGAGCGCGGAGGAAATTAAGCCGTCCATAGGGTCTCCACAACAATAGCCTAGAATATGAGACCAGTGGCGTCGAAACACAGGACGGGGGGGAGGGGGCTTTAATTGCTCCCCCCTCCAGACCTTCAAAAAACATCAAGTAAACAATACGGGCAGGAGATAAATCCCCCTCAGCCCCCCCCATGCCCCCAATCTGCCGAATAGAACCGACGTCTGTGGAAAAGATCTTCACAGTACTTAAACCTTAGTTGATGTTTATGCCGTCAGTGGCCAGACATAGCCTCCTATACATGAGGCTATGGGCCAGCATGCTAAATGTCGACGAGAGTACGCGGCAAAGCTCTTGGTGCGTACATCTCGGAGCAATATTGCAGCTTTTGTTCGTGTCCCCTTACCTCCATTTTGTACTCTGGTTATAAAATAAATTAATTGAATTGAATGGCAGGGCCCTCTAGAGTGTCTTGATCATTAGAAACTACCCCTCGAGCAATGTCGCCATCCGCTGCGACAGATGCCTTAGTGATCCTAACCTGCAATGAAAAACAAGTACTATAGAACGACTCAAGAATAACTGCCTAAGTGCGCCGTCACTGGATCTACCTGACAAGGAGTTCGCCTACCTGAGTAGGGAGTCCGATAATGTGCGTTAATAGTGTGTTTTTCAATAAATAATCCAGCTGCTAGCAGCACTTGATGTCATCTTGTTCTCTGTCTTTGAAGCGCGTATTCATTCGACGAACCCAGTAGTGCAAATAATAGATCACGCAAATACATGGTGAGCAGCGCTGTTCTCAATTAAATAAGTTGAGTAATCTTTTTTTTATAAACTAGATAGCAGTAATTTTACATCAAAGTTGTGGTCGGTTTGCCTTGCCGCAAACCCGACCCGGAGGAATAACACGGAGCCAACGGTTTCAACAACAAGAAACTACATTTAATGAGACATGGACGAGACGATTAACATGGTTACCACCGGTGCCTGAGTCCAGGCAGCGACTCTGTGCGCCGCCTCTGATGCGCCTTATCAAGGCGGCGCACGTGATGTACGCGTGGCTGGCGTGACGTCGCCGCCACGCGGAAAAAGTTCGGCACCTTTGCCTCGCAGTCGGGCACGTGGGCTGGGGAGCCGCCAGGGTGCCTACAAAGTCTAGTCATTTAAGTGGTGAGCTTGTTTTGGGAAGATTTCGAAAACACTTGCCGCACTCGAAAGTTACCAATAAAATAAAGAAATTTCTAGCGGATTGATATGGGGTTGAGCCTCTCGTGACATATTAAAAAGAAATTAGAAACAAAAGAACGATGATGTGGACTGTTTGGTATCTGAACAAATAAAACAGAAAAAAAAAGAGAAAGAAAGAGAAATGAAGAAATGGGGGACAACGAAACTTAAACTGTCTTTGGCCTCGTTCCGTTCCCGACGTTTCACTGCAGCAAGGTGCTTTCCATTTGACTTGAACCTCCGTAAAATTTTGGTCTTATACGTTACTTTGAAACGAGAAAAGTTTTTTTTTTTTTTTTCGAACACATATGCACGCACAAAATTAAGTTCTGATTTAACTCTGCGGTAAAGTACATGGTCGTAGCGTGCTTCGCTTATATATTATTTAAAGCTATTAGATTCATTTGGTTCATGCTCTATACTCTTACGTATTTGCACTCTTTTTCTTTCGACTTGATGCTACAACTTCTTGTTTACTTAAATAGGAAGCGTAATCTAGATGTCTAGGATAGTCGATCCATTTTACGCAGACTTAACGAGAAAACACAAACTGAAAGACATACTCGGAGCAACTTTCGACCAACGAAAGAATATGTCCTTGCAAGTTGGGATTGATGTTTGTCCGTTCATGTTCTCTCCAAAAATTGGTGTATCGCACAACTAATCCACTCTTTCTGACTTTGTTGATTCCCTTGCAAGCTTTATTCAGCGGAAAATATGCATCCCTACGTGATAATGCGAGCAAGAACAAGAGGTTAAAAATTCTTTATATGATTTTAGACGGAATACTTCTGATGGAAAAAGATTCATTAGGTCTCGCCTTTCTAAAATTACGGGAAATAATAATTTGAAAAATTGATAAATATAGACATGCCGAAGAATGATACAGGTATACCTAATTTCCCATAAGAGTGATGGGAGTGGCCTCCGCTTCCAGAAAGTGCGGGTGCTACGCAAAATTTCCCACATTGTAAAATTTGTACTTATACTCGTATCTGCTGTGTTGTCTAACGGTGCCAAGGGTGCTGTTGTTTTTTTTTAGTTATTCTTATTATTGCTTGAAAATTGCACGGCTGTTCAAAGTGTTACGTGACGTTAACTGGTATTCAAGAAACACTTCTGGTCCTCTCCGCGTGTTTACCATGGTTTACATATTCATCATTTGCATGCTCACACCTAATATAGTCCCCGAGGGGAACTGATATAGTCTTGATATTTGAGTGAAAAAAATTAAATAAATAAATAAATGTGCGTTCACCCAACACCAGCTAGAATACAAAACCAGCACCCCCCCCCCCCCCCCCTAACCCTCAAACGTCACCACCAGTGGTCCCACGCCTCTGACCCTCCTTCTTAGAATAAAATGGCGAACGTAAACAGCAAACCCGCGTCCCTGTTTACAATAAGAAGCAATAAATGTTTGAGCGTGTTCGTACATTTCGTCATAAATAATTTATTTAGCTTTTATGAGTGACTATAAGATGATTATAATATTGCTTATGGACTGTTGGCTTTGTGTTTGACACATAGAGAGGTATTTTTGTAAAATTGCAAACTTCGTACCTTTAGCGTTAGCGAAGGGGGTGACAACGGTGATCTAAGCGTCACGCCGCGCACGCGACTTTAAAAAGCACGCACATAAAAAACAGTACTCTATCTCAGGCAGTACAGTAAACAAAAACATAAATAACCGTACTTGTTCTTGCTAGGACATTCATCGTTATAAATATACTGCGGACTGGCAGGGCTCGAGAGACAAATTGTCAGTCTGATAGAAACGCCATACCTTGAATCAAATTTGAAAAGTTTTTGTTTTGTTTCTCAAAGTGGGAAAAATCATGATTGTGTTTTTAAATTCAAATAAATAGGGATTAGTTTTTTATTCACGATATTTGTATTTAAATGAATGGAGCCAGTGAATTACGCTCTTTATAGCTATATGTATTTCTAAGCGTGGCAGATTAAAAATAGTGCGGAAGAAAGAGTTACTCTAACCTAAAGTAAAGTAGATTTTTAGAAACCTTTTATTTATACAAACCCAGTCATACTAAAACAGAAGCAGTTGAACTTTTTAGCTAGTTAAAAAAGTTTCTTGACTTTTTATTTCGCGTTCTGATTCTGCTTGAAACAATATGTTACATAGTCGTCGAGCGAAGTGGCGGTAGAAAGAAGCACAACGCGCCGATCTGCTCAGAAAAGTATTGAATGCTTATTGCTCCTTTTAGCCTGATATATATCACCCATGATTTATGATTCTTTGGCTTAAACACAAAACATTCATGCAGAAAGCATCAAATATGTTAGACAAATGGTAGAATTAAAATATCGGGATTATCTTTGCGGAAAAGCATTGATTTAAATCATCAAAGTAAAACCGGCCTTATTAAAATCATGATTTTAATCGTGATGTAAACGACTAGTTAAATCATTCTGATTTTAATTCTCAGCTTTGGTACTCTTCACGTATAATTATTAAAAATAAATCTTGAAAACACTCTTTATGACGCGATGGCACATGGAATATTCTATCTTGAAGTGAGCACCAACTAACGTTATACAAGTACAAGGGGGACAAATCATCCTTTTTAGAAACCAATACATTTGTTACGGTTGCACCAGAAATTTAAGCAACCAGGGTTACTTAATATCAAACAAAAGATAGGAAAATTACTTGCAGGTTTTTTCTTTTTATCCTACACTTTTCATTTTTGGAATGTTCACCACTGGTTCAAGGAAACCTGAGTCATCCACAGTTGATCGTGTTTTGCATGTCATTTTTTCGTTTTTCAAGGAAGCGCATCTTTCGTCGAAATAAGCAAACAACACACAACGTTATAATTTTCTCGCTTAATTTTTATTTATATATTTATACATACTGCCAGCCAAAATGATCCAGCAGGAGACGCGAAGATATTTGTTAGTTCAGCCTAGTTTATATTTTATTGACGAAGTAGATAAAAAGTTGTTTTGTATACCTTCACCTACTAAAAATGTCTAGTAATTTGTCTCAAAACCATCCCCGTTTGAACCGCTGTACTGTACAGTTACTGAAAAGAAAAGGCCAATAACAGTACGCTATATTAAATAGGCATTCTCTAGACCGCTGTTCGGTTGTGTATGATAAAATCTCTAGGTTAGCTTTCATACCAAGCTGCGTTTTCTCTTCAGATATCATTCGCATAGCGGACAGAATTTTTCAATCGAAATATTTACTCAAACATTTGACTTTTATTTGAATAAATAGCCATAATAACTATCAGACAGGGCTTGATCTATGGATTTCTAACAATCAAGATATTGAATATATAAACGCTACTTGCTGTACGAACACCTTTTTGAAGGATAATTTATGGCAAACTACACGACTAAATACCAGAAACGTCTCCTCGCGTGGAAATTTTTTTTTTTATCTAGTGAATCTATCTGGGAGTGCATTGTTTGCATTCTGGCAAGTTCAGAGATCACAAGACCAAGCAGGATATAAAACTTGGGGATTTGCTATATTATTCGCTATAGGACAAAAACCCATAAGCTACTCAGACAATGCTGACTTGGGACTTTTCAAATTTTGGAACTGACAGTTTCCAACACTTGAAAATATACTACGTTAAAATTTATTTATAGCTTGAAATTGAACACCACAATCTAACAAGTTTCGTTTAAAATTTCTTATTTTCCTTTTATGCATACGAAAGAAAATTGCCCTTAGGAATTGCGATTTTTTACAGTGAAAGGTACTGCACAATTTATAGAAGAAAAACACCTCCGAATTATTTTATTAATTACTAGTCTTAGAAACCTCGCCCTCTTGATTTTACACTAGACATTTGAAAAGTGTGTGCTGCCTAAAGATTTTAAGACCCAATGTAGTACCTGAGTAAACATAATCTGTTGGAAACCCTATCTCAATTTAGGCTCATCTATTCGAAGAATTATTCTTTCTCCGGGCTACATACCGGAGCCATTAATAAAGGTTTTGCGGTTTGTAATAATTTTCCCCATCTACGCGACAGCAATGGCCATTCCTAACAGGCGTTATCTTGAGTGCTGTGTGTTGTGTGAGTTGAGTGTAATATATCAATATACTGCTGCTAACAACATGCAGCCATCAGGGCTTAATTTGTGAATCTCTGGTCTAACATTATTGGTTTTAAAGGGATCATTCTTAATTGAGTGACGGGGGTGGAAACGGTAACAAGGGGAAAGAGAGAAAAAAGTTGGAAAGGAAAGTAGACAAATACATGTAAGGAACATATTGCAGCAATACGACAACTTTGTCAGTAAGGTGTATTCTCCCGAAACTGCGATACATGTTATGCATTTCTATAAGCTAAAACGTTTCACTTACTAGAAATACTGGTTCTTTTTTTCTTCTGGCAACCTCCGCCACGTGTAGAAGTTAAATATATTCATACTGAAAAATAAAATAGGCTTATTATACGCCATAGTTAATATCAAGTATTTATATTATAAAAAAGGT